CCTGCTGAAAACTTGCATTTCTTTTTAGTTTTCTAGATAAACCTCTCCAGCAAAGACAGACATAGCTGTCTTTAATCAATATATTAGGCAGAAGGACCTACAAGACACACTGTCTGCATGGCTCCTTTAATTTTTCCACATTAAGAGAGAGCTGATGAAGTCCTCACAAGAAAATTGCTATAGCATAATCTGAGTTTGTATTTTGTATTTCATCAACCAATTATAAGTTCTCTTACAAGAACAACAGAGAAATAAAAGCTATTATTGAGGTCTGTCTTGAATCTCATCTATTTAGGTCTGTCTTGAATCTCACCTAAGTAGAAGTCTGCTACTCTAAATCCTGAATTATATGGAAAGGATTGGTTTTTTCCACCAAATTTCTTTATGTTCCTTGGACTGCAAACTAAATTGAAACCAGGCTGCCAGATGTAAGAAGCTGATACCACCAGCAGATCAAGCATGCCAGCATCTACCACTGTTGCTAGGAAAGATCTTCATGATACTTGAATAACCCATGTTTCATGGGTTAAAATCTTAACCAACTTCAAGACTACAATGAGTATTCACTGAAATGTCAACATCTCTGTGTTATGTGAACTAACTCTAGAAATCTCTGAAATCCAAACAGATCCGTTAGACTGCAGCTCAAAGCTAAGAGAACAATCTGCACAATACGAGCTACAGTCCTCCAGAAATTGTAAAAGATTCTTACTGAACACCAGACCCTAAAATATTTTTGTCTTAAAATAAAGCAAGTTAGCACATTTCAGAGAAAAATGTACCATTCTTGTGAAAGGCAATGTTACTATATTCCACAGTAAGTGTCCAGAACACTGAAGCTCTGTGGCGCTTCCAGGAGCCCCCATTTGGAACGCCCAAGCTTAAAAGGGCTTTTTTATTTGGACACTCCATTATTTTTTTTTTCCACAACTATTGAGGCTAAATGACTAGGCAGGCTCCATTCTGGAGCCCACTATTTCCCTTGGATTTACAGGAAATCCAGTTGTTGCTCAGCTAAATATGCCATGAATTGTAAACAAAATATGTGATTAGTTTTCACGAGGTCTGCTCTACTCAGCGGGGTAAAAGAAGTGCTAGTTCCTAAGCATGTTTTATCTAGGCTTTATTTCTGTCCCGACAGATATTTGGAAACACTGACTTCTGTTGTTACTGTTGAATTCATGACCTCATTTACTCAGTAGCCTTTCAGAAGCAACAAGGGAAATGATGTTGATGGGGTTCTTCAGGAACTGACGGCAGCTGTGTTAAACAAAAGCCTTTTGCAACATTTCTCTCCAACTTGGCACCAGCTTCTCTATGACTACATCTAAAGTCCAGTTTCTAGCAGTAGCTCAATTTACAGGCAGGAAGTATTTGGAAGATTTGGACGAAAAGATCACGTTATGCAGCTTGTTTCAGTAGGACCAATTTGCTAAGTGTTTTAACTCTCCCTTTTGGTTGATGAATATTTAATGTGTTAAGTATGAGGAACATTCAGTATTCACTAGACCAAAACTAACCTTAGGAAGTTTTTGAAGGGAGGTTAATTTACTATAAAACTCCTGAATTTGCTTTGCTTTCTTTTGCATATAGGTTCTCTGTGTACACTACACAACAGCTCCTATTGGGAAAAGTATAACCATGTTGTTATACAGTGTAAATAGGAAAATATCCTGATGGAACTATTGAAAGCAAACTTTTTCTTAAAAGAGTGAAAAAGGAAGCAAGGGAAATGTACTCTGTAGGAAATGTATAGTATTGCATTCCATCACAGACCCATATGATGCTTTTTTCAAGCCTTGTAATGGAGTGGACTTGGTGTTCCGTTTGCTCCATGCCTGAGAGGCAGCTTATTCCTACCTTGCAGAGTGTTTAAATAAGCTCTATATGTGTGGACTGGTACGGCAGATTTCCATTTATCCAATGTAACTATGAGTTTCTTACTACATTATATGAGTCTAATATCTTTAATTTTCACAGCTCTGATTTCAGTAACTTTTTGTGGAATTCAGTTACACATTATATTATGTATAACATGTGAAAAAACAAGACTCCTGAAGTAAATTCAGTATTATGTGTTGCCTTGTGATTTCACTGGACCTATTCATTATTTTGCATGTAAATAGGAGTCTCTGAATTAATTTTCTTTGTCAACTATACTGCATACTTCCACTGCATTTCCCCTGAAACAGCAATACTGTCTCTCAGGATATCACTATGAAATGGCAGGTAGGAGAGTCAACTGAACCAAACCAAATGTGTTCCAATAAAAAGGGAGCAGTAACTCCAAAGGACTCATCGTGACTCTCGTTTCACATCCCGTTCTTTCCAAAATGCAGTATTTCATTAGATTGTTAGAAAATAAGCCTGTGTTACTGGGCTCATTAGATTTTGTTTTGTGCAGAGTCAAGTTTCCATTTTACTCCACTCAATGGCTTGTACTGTCTTAACATGTCTTTTCTTGATTGGGTTAGAACATTTTCAACTCCACTACATGGAAATACAGTCTGGATTTTTCGTCTAACATGCATTCCCCTGAATTTCCTTGAAGGTGCTCCTCTAGTCCATTTAGGTAGCTATAAATTCCTCAGTCTGAACAATCACCCTCCATTGAATTATATTATTTTTCTCAAAATATATTTTGTTGGCAAGTTTAAGGACTCATACACATCAGTTCCGTTATTTGACCCCTGTACCATCCCTTGAAAGCTGTTTCCTTTAAAACAAGACATAGCTGTAATATCCTCTATGTTCCACTCAGTAGAACACACAATTCCAAGCGAGATTGTCAGTGATTCAGAAGCTCACTGCCAAGATGCTTCTCACCTATAACTCACTGGTTTTCAGATGTCTCACTCTGTTTATGTACCATTTTTTTTACTTTTCAGTCTCTGACACTGCTTCATCTCCAGTACACAGAAGACTTAGATCAAAACTACCTGTCATTTCCAAATCTGAGCAGTGCCCAGTCAAAGACCTGCTCCCCTAGCTCTGGTATTGTGCCCATGGTAAAAGTGAAGCAAGCATTGTCATACCACTGCCAGCAGGGAAGGGAGAGCTTACGGCCAGGGTAGACTGTTCCCATGCAGAGTTTCTAGATGTCTAGAGTTCCTAGATGTCTTTGAGCTGAAATAAACGCTATAAGTAATGTTTAGTTCTTACTACCTAAAGAACAGCCAAAATCCACCTTTCTTGGAGTCATGGTGAAAAAACACTCAAGGGGTTTATTTTCCAGGCACCAAAGGCAGACACCACTGTTCTTCTATAGCAAGTCTGAACAACTGCATTCAGCCAAAGTCACTCCTGTGCTACGTTGTGTGTGTTTATCTTGGGTTTTCAAATTTTGTACCAGCCCACTCTACTTTGCCCTTCTTTTCCAGGTCAGAAATGGTGAGACTGCAGGTTCCCTCAAGAGGCAGCCCGGAGCAGAGGGAGGGAGCAGCCCTACCCAACAGGAGATGCTCCCTGTCTGGTGTGCAGCAGGACCGACGGTCTCCCACCGGTGTAGCTGGGCTTTCTGAGAATGGTATCCAACCCAGTACCCAACTGCTTCTTTTCCTCACTGATTCCTAAGAACCTCAGCAGAAAAGCTAATGTAGATATTAAACCACCAAACCCACAAACCAATCCTAATGCACCCTGAAATCCTAGACCCAAATAAAAGGTAATATCCCAGCTTTCTGCTTCTCACTCCCCACATAATTTTATGTTTAATAGAAGAGTGAAGGTATCGCTTAGAGCTATCACTTAGAGAGGTCTAGAGTACAAGTCTGCTGAGGAGGGTCTGGGGGAGCCTGGAGCAAAGGAGGCTCAGGGGAGACCTTCTGGCTCTCCACAGCTCCCTGACAGGAGGCTGGAGCCAGGAGGGCGTCAGTCTCTTCTCCCAAGGAACAAGTGACAGGACAAGAGAAAACAGCCTCAAGTTGCACCAGGGGACATTTAGGTTGGACATTAGGAAAAATTAAAGGGTTGTCAGGCTGCTCCAGGCAGTGGTGGAGTCCCCATCCCTGGAGGGGTTTCCAGGCTGTGGAGATGTGGTGCTGAGGGACATGGGTCAGGTGGGACCTGGCAGTGCTGGGTTAGTGGTTGGACTTGATGATGTGAAAGGTCTCTTCCAAGCAAAATGATTCTGATTTAAAACTGTTTTTTTCCCCATACAATTCATCTCACTGTAACTTTTTTGCTGGCTTAAATGTTTGAAGTTTTTGTTTCTTTGTAAATAAAACCTCAGAACTTCAGCTAAAACAATTTCCAAGGAAGCCATTTGCAGTTAATATTCTGTATAGTCACACTCTTTGGAAATGTTGTGGCTGTTGCAGTAACTCTGACAAGGTCCAGCCTGTTCAGCAGATGTAGTGCTGTAACATCCCATGCTTGCCATTCCTCATGGGACTGCAGGAAGACTTCTTTGAAAGTCTCCTGAAATCATGGGCTTTGCCAGGGCTTCTTCTCACTATCCATGACCTCGACCAGGCATTTGTAGAGCAGTTAGAAGGGCTCTCAAAGAACCAGCAGTTTGGGAGGGAGGTGGGTTGGTGGTGTCATTTAACAGCTGTAATGATGACACATTATTTTTGAAAGCCACCTAAGAGACCCAACGCCTTTCATTATTTTTTTTTCCCCCTGGATGGTAGTTTACAAGCCAAGTAGAAAGCAAATGCAAAGTCTGACTTCACTTCGGTGATTTTGGTTTTTTTGGACGTATCTAGTTCAAAGAAGACAAAAGCACTTATGTGACATTACTGCAGGCTGGATAACAATATATAGTGGCAAAAAAATCAGATTTTAGGTGTGTATTGAACGGAGCTGGCAATCAGCTGCTTGGAATTGTGAAAAAGAATAACGTGTAACTACAATGAACATTGTAGCACCTTCTCCATGTGGCTAGACTTAGAAAATAAGCCTGTTTTTACAAATATTTTCATCAAATCAAACACTTTATGAGGTCTGAAGACAGTTTCCATGTCTAACCTACAGTACCCATACTCCAACTACAAACAACTTTTTAGCAAAAGCTTTTCAAACAAGTAAATCATGAGTTTATAGACTGAAAAACACGAAAAAGTTTTTCATCAAATAAATTCATGCAGAAAAAAAAATAACTCAGGAAGATGAACAAATAAAGTGTGAATATCTGGGACAAACTTAGATATACTAGATGGAGAATGATTTATGATTTTTTTATATATGTGGTAATAAATATTAATTTCTTAGAGGAGAAGAGCACTTGCATCAATGGAATTGGGTAAATTATTCTACAGTAGCTAGTTTACAGATCAATGCCTCAACAGCACAATAATAAAGTGCTCTGATTCTACTGACAGAATATTTTTTTAAATATTAGCTTAGTAGAAGAACTTTAATAAAATACTGGCTGTAAAAAAGATGCATGGGAAGTTTTGTTTTCCTCTCTGGTTTCCAGCCCTGCTAATCATAACCTACAAGGGGGATGCAATCGATAGTGTCCTTTGTGTACACAACTGATCCAAGCAAAGGATATTCCTGTAGGGAAGGCAGGAAGGGAGGAAGAAAAAAGCATTACAAGTGCCTTAGCTACCTCTGCATGAAGGCTGCATGTGACTCACGAGCCTTTCCCTCTGTTTTTAAAACCCTAAACTGAGTGTCTGCTGTGCCAGATGCTGCAATTAATGTACTGGATTAAAAAGTTTGAAGCTCTTCAAGGAATCCCTTGTATTGGGTGATCAATTCTCATGGCTGACACAAGTGTTGTGAATGCTGATCATTACCCCTTGGAACTCCTGTGGCAGGAAAATAAATTATGGTAGAGAAAGTTCACTACTAATGTATCATAGATTGAAAATAAAGTACTTTTTTTTGTTGCTTTGGCCATGCACAGCCTCACGGAAAGAAAGTGCTCCTAATAAATCAGGCTGTTCAGGTTGCCATAAAAATGCAGACATCAATTCGCTAACTAAAGAGCAATAGTACATGCAGCTAAGCTTTGTTCCTGCTCAGGCAATAAGTTATGGAATGTGCTAAGCTATAAATTTGGCACATTGAATGCTACTGAAATAAAAATTGCGTTAACAAACATATGCCAGGTGTTAACCAAAAGAGGAAAAAAAAAACCAAACCCAAACACAAAACTAGGTAATTTTTCCTTTGTAGCTGAAAATAGACCTGAGCAAGGATTAAAGGCACTGCGGCATGAGGCTGCTGCAGCAGTGGGACCCTGCTGCTGGCACAGGGCTGGCCACCACCCAGAACTTCAAACAGCAACGACCGGAAGCGGTATTTTAGCTGGAACTGCAAGTGCTCGTGTCCCTGCAAAGTCACTTTCCCAGGAGACCCTGCTGGATGACTCATCCCCTTGAACCCTCCCTCCTTGGGCTGAAGGAACTAAGTATGCACAGTGCGTGTAGTGCTACCTAAGGTCAAATGTGTTTCAGTGTTTGAAGAAATAACAGCATTTGACTTCATCATGCTGTTAGAATTCATTAAACCTGTTTAATCAACCGACAGTGATTAAGAGGAATAATTATAAAATTTAAAATCATGTTGAAATTGGCTTAGCCTGGTGTCAACTCAGAATAAATGTTCAGAATAAAGACTTGACCAGTGCTTTTCAGGTACACAAGGTTGAAGACTCCCAGTAAGTTACAAGTACCATAACCACTGAGTCATAGAATGGTCTGGGTTGGGAAGGACCTTAAACATCACCTAATTCCAAGCCCCCTGCCATGGGCAGGGACACCTCCCACTAGAGCAGGTTGCACAAGGCCCTTCATGATGTTGCACTAGGGTTTTCACAACCTCCCTCCTTTCTGCCTCAGTTCCAGGAGTTTAGGTTGCAGCAGTTCGGGGTGGTTGTGCTGTTGCTAAGTGGTTGTTGGTTTCTCGAGCAGAGGATCAGCTGTTCCGCTCTGTGGAGGGCCAGGCTGCCTCTGATGAAGAGGAGGAGAAGTGGACAGGACACCAGCCATCTCAGGTGGACGAAATGAAGAAAATCCTGGGCAATCTCCCTTGCTGTGGCAGCGGGTAGGTTTAGGAGATGTAATGGAATGTGAGCTCTTTGCAAAGATCATTTCATGCCCTGAAGGTGCCATGGCTTCAGTAAGAAGCTGTAATGCTGTATAGCAAAATCAGCAGTCTCCTTGGCCCACCCATTCCAGCTCATGGGAAACGTGCTGGATATTCCCCCCAAACCCTAACCAGCATCGACCAGGAGGCTGATTTGTGCTCTGGGCTGACAAGACTTTTGAAGGAAAATATTTAAAGACAGACCTTTGTTGTGAGGTTTCACTAACACTTTTTTTTTTAATGCATATGTAGATGTGATGAAAAAATGTGGAAAAAGCTGATGTCTTACTTGGAGACCACCAATCCTGACGACTATGAAACTGCCCCTGCGGAGCTTACAGAGAGAATCACACCACTAACCGAGCAGCTGGAGCTTAAAGGGCACGAGGTGAAAACACTGGAAACAAATATGGAAGAGGTAAAAGGTGCCAGGCAGAGCCTGGAGGAGTTTTTATATACCTTTAAGCAGCTGCGTTTATCTGCATGTCCATTTGTATTTTATTCTGGCCATTCCACGCTCTGCTGCTGATGCTGTTGGTTTGTCAGCTCGAACATGTCATGCTTTGCTGTCACACCCACGTTTCCAGTCAGGTTCCCACCTGAACCTCCATTTGTTTGGAGGATGAGACCTACACCAAGCCCAGGCTCTTCACACATCATCCTTTATTTACATGGGTTAAGGTGTTCACTGACACTAGGTTTGGGAAGACCCAGCAGACCAAAGAGCTCCACATTAGCCATAGGGTTACTTTCCGTGGTTCCTCAGCTGGGGATGAAACTCTCCCCATGTCCTACCACATCCAGCTGCTCTGGCAGCACAGTAACTTCTCCAGAAGCCCCTCCAGCTGTCTGAGATGCAGGGCTCACTGATTTGGAATCCTTGGAGGAAATCAGCCAGTTTACTCTGGCTGGTTCTCAGGATTAGACTGATATAGTTATAAATAAATAAAAGCACTAACTCTCAGGCCTAGCAGCATGTTGAGCTTCCTTCCATTCAGCAGAGGCTACAGCCGCAGCAGGTAAAAGCCCCAGTGCAGCATCCCAGTCGTCCCATGTGATCTTATTAATTAAATGCTGCAAACTTCAGCCATCAGTGGGCACAGATTTAAATGCTAGCAATCTTTCTGGGAAACAACAGTTGAGCATTGGATGCATTGCTCCGTCTGCATGGTCTTCAGGTTCAGCCACTGCTTTTTCAGTACTTTATGCCCCTTCTTTAAAAAGAGCTTAAAAATTTCAGTAGTTCCTGAAGGATTATATTTAAATTGATAAACTGTTTAAAGTAAGAGTAAAATATTCAGCTTCTTTACTTGTTGGCATCTTTTGATTTATCAGTATTTCATGTCATTTTCTCCCTTGACTACAATAAATGGAAGAGTTTTTGTGAGGAAAAAAAATTAAAAACAGAATAAATTCATACTTAGGTCTTACACAATTTGAAGTATTCAGTAACAACTGACTTCTGTAATACTCCTTAGAGCAACACAAAGCTTCCTTCTCTGCTGCTTAACCTCAGCTCACATAAAAAACTACATGTATTCTTTTACCTACAGGAAGGAGCTGCTTTCCTGTAGGTAATGCCAGTTTTCCTCTTCTCCTTTTTTTCCATTCAGAGTTACTCATCTTCTTCTGTGGTACCATACTGCTTTCTTTTTAATATCTGCAGATGGATATCAGTTCTGCACACCTTGTTCAGAAAATGACCATTGTTGATAGATTAATACAAAATGCCAGGACAGAAAAGGAACCTCTTTCTCTTGATTTAAAGACAAGCAGGGAGGTGAATCAGACAGTGCCAGCCCACTGTGACATGAATTTAAAATCAGCAGGATGAATCATTTGGAGCCTGTTACAAGTTTATTCTTAAACCTCTCATTTGTGTCTTGTGTGCAGTTATAGGTATTTTTCTTTTGGTGCTGCAAAAGAGACAGGCAAGTAATAAATAATCCCTTTCAGGAAGCAACACAAAGCAAATTGGAAGATTGATAAATGCTCTCTCACCTAACTGCCAAATAAATGTATTGGCTTAATAAATAAACCACCAAGAACACTTTGTCTGATGACCTGACAAAAACACATTATACATTGCTCTAAATACTTCTATTTGGGCCTGCTCAATGCTGAAAATTAGACAAATAACAACAAAGCTCACAAGTAACAAACTCATCAGGCAAGCAAAGAACACTCTCAAATACTGATTAATAATTGCTTCAGTCTAAGATTTGGAGATCAGTCTAGAACCAGGGGATAAAAGAGTTCTGAAATATGCAAGGTCTAGGAAGTTCTGCTTTCCAACCACTGAACATTTAAAAATAGCTTCTACTGAAGACACGGTGATGAAGATGGAGAAAACATGAGTGAATTCTAAAAATAAAGCCATATGTTTCCCAGCGAGCATTGCAGAGAAATGCTGTTTTGCCAGTGACCAGGCCCAACAAAAATGATAGCACCAGCAGGAAGATGAACCAATACACAGACTGTATTGTAGACAAGGACATTCCATGAATGATCACTGGGGGTACAAACAGATCAGTCAGCTGGTACATAAACAATACCACCCCCAAAGATCCCACAAAAGATGTGACTCGGCCCACAACAGGTGGTACAAACAGAGAACCAAGGTTTCCCACAGTTGGCATGGGAAACAGCCAAACCAGCAAGTTAAATACATAAGAGAAAGGTGCCCACATGGCGACTCTCACCCGATCAGCCCGCGTTCACAAAGCTCTAAACAGACTGGGGCCCAGCTCCAGGGAGAGTCAGGAGGTCTGCCCTGAACCAGGAAGCTCTGTGGAGTGCACTCCACAGACAGACACTACTGCCTCCCAGCTTTTACCCCCAAGCAGACACCTGACCTTTGTCAACTCAATGCGGGACCCCTGGGGCTCATTTCCCTTATGGCTCTCCCTGCAGGGCCGGCCGCACCCCGGGGGAAGCTCTAAGGCAAACTCACCACCTCTGTATGAAGGGCTGTGGGAATCACCCATATGTCAACCTTAATTCAGGGGCTTGGGGTTCAAACTCCAGCATTTCAAATGCCAATTATTTTCCATAAAAGCTTGCATACAAACTGCCAGCTTAATTAAAAAGACAATTAGTTTATGGCCAGCCATACAGGGTCAAACAGAAAGTTCATCCTAATATCACGCGCCTGATGTAGAGCAGCAGTTGCTTAGAGAAAAGCAATGAGAAATAGTACAGAAGATTTTCCTCTTGGTATTACTGGCCTGGTTCCCAAAACACCATGGACAGACACATCTTAGACTGGTTGGTGCATGGAGTGTCATGTTTAATGGCCAGTATTTGAGCTATTTACCATGAACTCACCTCTCCTTTCTTTAAAGCCAGCGATGTTTTCGGTAGCTTAGGGCAAGGGCTCCCACGTGCTAGGCAGGAAGGTTTTGAGGGTTTGGTTTTGTTAGCTTAAAATCTGCTGCCTGTTCATCTGCCATCACCTTGGATTTGACTTGGGAATCAGCAAATGAGCTTTTCCTCATAATTTTATAGACTTTTACTACCAGAAACACTGCCTCAGCTATCACCATTCCTAGTGTGCCTCAGCCCTCTTGCTATAGAAACCATTACTTCTCTTGTTCTGTTTTACTCTTCCATGTACTTTTCAAGCTCTATAACCCTTTTTCAAGGAGAAGAACTAAAAATATGTGTAGTGCTTCCATACAAGCTCTTCATCACATAATCATCATTTCTGGTTTGCCCCTAGTTTCTTTTCTAATAGCTCCTAGCACAGATCCCTTTGATGGCTGCTGACTGCTGAACTGTGTTCAGGAGATTACAGCTCTTCTAGATCTCCATCTTGAGCAGTAGTCATCACCAGTGCATATGTATAGTGCCTTTCCTACCTGCCTTACTGTGCATTCCTGATGCTGAATTCCATCTGCCCTTGTATTGCCCATAGCTATTCAATAGCTGTGATTCTCCACAGGCAGCTTTAGTTTTGATTGCCTCCACAACACTGTATTGAGCACAAATGTAAATACTTGGAAATTCATCTTTTTCAAAAATCATTTATGAATATGGTGAACAGCTCAGGTCTCAACCCACCTCCTTGTGAGACCCTGAGGATTATCTGTGAACCCTTCTGTGCTGGTCTGTCACTCTGTGCTCTGCCCTAGCTCTGAACCAGCTGAAAGTCCACGGCAGGATCTGTGCTACTGCCCTGTGGCAGCTTCATTTATTTCCTTGAGCCTTTGGTGATGAATCTTATCAAAAGCTTTTTACAGACTCAAACTACATTCTATCAGCTGAATTAACAGTATTCCTACACATACATAGACCCTTTCAAAGAATTTGGACAGATTCTCCACTATGTCCCTCTCTGTACTCTCCAAGTCCCTGCTCCATGGCAGTTCCTACCCTTTTGCCTGACAGAATTACTGACCCTCTGTTCCTCAGATCATCTCTGCAGCCTCCTGTACAAACTGGTGCTCCCCTTGCCACCCTCCAGTCCTTCCAGGGGAAAATGATTCAAAAGATAAATTGTGCAGCACAGTTCTGTGCTTTGTTCTGCTGTTCAGTTACTGGCTTCTTCTTGTTCTGAAAATGTTTCTCAAGTTCTTTGCTTGAAAAAATGGCTCTAATATGAGAGGCTCCTCAACTTCCATGGAAAATACAATAGAACTGTTTTGTCTTACATTCCTTAAGGGATTTTTTTATATTAATTTTTCTTCATCCTAGATGGCTTTGTACACACTACTCTGGAGCTCAGATTTCCCCCATGGCATTCTCCATGTTTATAAGAGGGATGGATATCAGCAGCTGACTTCTTCTCAAAGCTGGTGTTTGGCAAGGCACCCCACAGAGGACAGAGAACCTCTGGGCAGCTCTCTGGGAATGGCAGTTTTGCCAGCAGGACCAAAGCAGCAGCTAAGGGATGTCAGGAGTGCAGGACCAGGACAGATGAGCACCCAGTATGAATTTCCATGAGTATTTAACTGCATATTGGAAAAGTCTGTTTTGCATCTACAACCAATCATAGAATCACAGAATGGTTTGGGTTGGAAGAGACCTTAAAAATCATCTAGTTCCAGGCCCCCTGCCATGGGCAGGGACACCTCCCACTAGACCACATGGCTCAAAGCCCCATTCAACCTGGCCTTGAACACCTCCAGTGATGGAGCATCCACAACTTCTCTGGACAACCTGTTCCAGTGTCTCACCACCCTCATAGTTGAGAACTTCTTAATTTCTCACTTAAATCTCCCCTTTTCCAGTTTGAAGCCATCGCCCCTCATCCTATCACTACAAGCCCTTGTAAAAGGTCTCTCCCCAGCTTTCTTGTAAGCCCCCTTCAGATACTGGAAGGCCACAAGGAGGTCTCCCTGGAGTCTTCTTTTACCTCTCTGTTATTTGATATGACACTGCTTCAGCTGTCCAGGGGAACAAAACTACTTCGTATGTTTAGTGGATGTCTGTGCCAGGTGGGATTTACAATGTGGATGCAATCTGCAGTATCATAAAGGAAACCATGTTCAATTCATTGAAGACTTCCCATGGCCTCTGGAGTATCTGTCACATCTCAGTTCAGCTGCTGCCCTGTCGATGGGGACAAAGTTGGCTCTCCATATGGGAATGTGGTCATCTAGCAGGGGTGTTCAGACAGGGATGCTGAAATCATGGTTTGGCAGAGGGACTAGATGAAGTGATCCAAACTTCTGTTGCTGTTGTATGGCTCAGAGGAGCTGAAGCACCTCACAGGGCATTAAAAAGTGCACAGATTAAGGCCTTCAGCTTTTCAAGTTCAACTCTCTCCTTAGTTATCTCTAAAATGGCAATAAGGATAAAAGATGACAACAAAAAGGGGTTAACAGAGCCAAGGAATTCAGCATTTACCCCACCTGATTTTGTTTCTCAGTGTCATATTAATAGATACGTTTAGATAGTGTTTGCAACAAGAAATTGCAAAAAAAAAAAATTCATAATGCTAGGCACAGTAATAATTGCAAAATAAGTTTCCTTTTATTAATAAACTTGAAATCTGTCAGCACTCTCAAAGGTCCAGAATTAATATTCAAGTGACGTACTTTCCAGGGAAAATGCTTTTCAGAAAGCTCTTTTTAGCAGCCTGGCCACATATCTGCCCCCGGCCTGGGTCGGTGACAAACGAAGATACTTTTGCCAATGGGATGGCAGCTTTGTAGTTCAAAACATGTCACTTAGCTCTTGCATTGAAACAAAAGCAGCATTGCAAATCCTGACCATTTTTTCCACAGGGAGGTCTGAGACAACGGAGAGGTCAGCTTTAGCTCTGGGAGCTCCAGGTCTGAGGAGACTTCTCCTGCCCAGGATTTCTGTACTGCTCAAAAGTCGTGTTGAATCTGGACTTTTCTGTGCATAGCTGCAAACCAGTGCTTCACCAAGCACGCAGGCCAGTGTTTTGCAGAATTCTCATCTTCCATTTTTTTCCTTAAGACACTTATTTTAACCAAAATACTTAAGTGGAATTAGTTAATGGCCTTCTTGTTTCGCTGACTGTACAGATGATTGATATGTAGGAGTTGCAAGCCAAAGATATGATTACACTGGTGAGGACACACACATTAGTTATGCTTTTAGAGGATGACAGGAATGCAAATTATTAGAAAACAGAAATAGTAATGCTAGTATTTAAAATTTCTGCCTGATCTGCTTGCATCCAGTGTTGAATGAGCTGCTGTTACGTGCCAGAGCAAAGCATGCATTTCCCAGCAACTACTGATTGTGCATGCTATCTAAGACATTAAGACATGTAATTCCTTTTGGGAGAACCTTCTGGAGTGAACTGACATGTACCAGATAAGGGGGGAAAAGCAGCTTTGCAATTATCAGCCAAGAAGGTGAAAAGCTCCAGTGCTTTTAATTTCCTGTGTCATTGTCCAGATGAAAGGCCCATTGCTAGGTGAACTGCAGCAGAAGGTGGAGGAGACCGAATTGTTGAAGATGGAGCTGCAGATGTTGGAGACTGAGCGAGTTAGGCTGTCACTGGTGGAAGAAAAGCTCATGGATGTTTTACAGCTTCTTCAACAACTTCGAGACTTGGTATGGCAAGAAAGCAGTCCAGAGACCTAAAACTGGCTTTGGTAGTGTCCTGCCCAAACTAAAAAAGACATTTGCACCACCTATTAAGTTCAAAGTCCTTTACACCAGGACACATTTTTACATGTGTTTGCCCTGGGAAATTCCTGGTGATTGTAGAAAAACTTCAGAACCCTATGGCTGACTTTGTAAAAGAAGCCTAGAGATCTCCTTAGATCTGGATCTCCAAGATCTCATTATACTATAAACAAAAATTTAGAGGAAACAAAAAAAAAAAAAATTAAAAAAAATGCTAGTAATCAGAAAGATTCTAGATTATTTTTCCTTCTAGAAAAGGAGCTTCGTTCAACTGCATCCTAACATGACACCAAGTCAATGCTGAAGGGATAAAACTCTTTCTTTCCTGCATACCAATAAGGTATTTTTGGTAAGAAGTTTCTTACCCAGTTAATAACCCAAACATGGATTTATAAAAGCTGATGCATTAACACCAGAAAGACACAGCCAGTATGGTGGTTCTGTCCTTTAGAAAATCAGTTCAAATATTCTGTTTGAGAATGAAAAAAGTAAGGGCTGAACAAAAGATGGGCAAACTGGGTAATCTGCAGAACACTGGGTACGCTGGGAGCCACAGTGGACTGCTAGGAGCTAATTTATTTGCTAATGACTGGAGGTGGTCATCGGTTTTCAGCAAAGCTCTGCCTAATCTATGTGAAATGAGAATGCTTCCTCAGATGATCACTTTACTTGGTTTGAAGTACGCTCATGTTCCACTGATGACTCTAGGGAACAAGTGTAGTAGCTCAACATTTGGTAGCTTATTTTAGCACTTGACATGGAAATTCTCCTTTCATATGGCAAGTCTGACACATGCAGCAATATCAAGCCAGCAAAGGATTAAACCAGTAAAAGACTATGACTGGCAACAAGCATAATTTGCTCTTCATTATGTCATTCACTGGTCAGTTGTATCATTGCAAACCATTTCTGCTTAGGAGACAATCCATCAGATGTGTCACATCACAGTGATAACAGCACCTCATGCTCATCACTGCTGGAACCATGCCACCACATGCTGCAGCTCCCACGGCACCAACACAGGCAACGCTGCTGTCAGTGAACAAAACCACTCACACTACTCCCAGCAGAGTTTTGCAAGGCTCCCCTAAATCCCTGCTGGGTTATACTTCAGATGGAAGAAAGCTTATTCCTCGGAAACTCTGGGTTTAGGTGTCATTTCCCCGGTAGGTTCACCTTCATGTTTTAAATATCCCAAGCATCCCATTTGCAGCAGAAGCTGCCGCAAAGCAGTGACTATCCAAAGGCAAACACACATCCCATTAGGGCCATTAAAACCTCCCACTGTGTTGCAGAGGTCACGTGTAATCCCAGCCTGCTGCAGACTGATCCCCGCTATGCCCCAGCCCCAACTGGGGCAGGCAAGCAGAAGGTGGATAGATGGCCAGTGTCAGTAAGCAAGGCCAGTGTTGCCTGGACTGCTGGGAGGTACATCATCCCACTGCCAGAACATCTAGTTCCACTTCTGAAAGTTTCAACAAGAAGAGCCTGTCCCTGCAGATCCAGGCACTCAGTGCTCATTAACCTGATGCTCATTAAGCTGTGCACCTCTCCAAAAGCAGGCGTCAGTGGCTCAACTGCAGATTAAGAGAGTTTGTTTTCCCAGACACATTGTAGAAATGGCCCAACTGATTTCTAATATAAAACTATCAACAACAACAACAACAAAAAAAAATCCAAAGCCTAAGTAGTTTTTTCCAGCCTGTAATTTTGGCTAATGTTCATCACACCTCAGTATGTAACTCACATTGAGCCTGCTACATGCACACACAGTCTATTCTAATTTATTGATTCCCAACAGTTCCTAGATCAGCCACGTCTGACCAGCCTTTTTCTGAGATGACACCACAAAGTCTATCATAGAACCATAGCATCACTTCGGTTGGAAAAGACCTTTAAGATCATCAAGTCCAACCATTAACCTAACCCTACCGAGTCCACTGCTCCTTGCCACCTAGGTTTGTTTCGGCACACACTCTGGAAAATTCAGTATTTTCCAGTGAATGACTGTTCTTTCTCTTCCTATAACCACATTAAGGAACCACAGCCCACACCAACTGCCATTATTTGAGCATTAGCTAAGATAAAATGCTAGAAAATAAAGCCAATACCAAGTCTCCTGTTATCAGGATTCTGTTTCTTTTTGGTTGAATTGTCAAATGGAAATACACTGCGCATAGAATTTATTTCATACATTTAAAGCGGTGAAGGACATATTTGTGCCATAATATTATTTTGTTTTTTAAAGAACATATCTAAGCGAGCCTTGGGGAAAATCTTGCTGAGCACTTTGGATTCCTGCCGTGACCCCCAACCTGGTAAGAAAATAAATCATGTATAAAGACCAAGAAGCATCAAAAGTGTCCTTTTGGGAAAAACACTAGATAATGAACAGATGAGTAGGAAAAAAATATGTCAAATACTGGGGGACAACTAGGGAGACAGAAGGCACAAGATGATCACCTACAGAAGGCGATGGTTTCTAGTCTGTGACACATCAGGAACACATCCAGGGCTTTTTTTAGCCAAACTATAATCACAATTAGGAGGATATCATTAAATTAGCCTTAGGGGAACAAATCAGTATCCTGCTAATGTCTGTAGGGCTTCATTGATATGAGAAAATGGAAAGCATGACCAAGTATGTAAGGCACTCACTTATCACGTTTGCTTTCCCACTGTGTGTTGTACTCCCCTGCTGCCACACAAAGTTACACAAACCAGAATATTTCTGTAAAGAAACCAGCTCAGACCTGCACTCCTCTAATAATAGCCTTCCCTGTTCCTCACATGAGAATGAGAAGAAGAATTGCCAGCTCCTCTCCCTTGATGATGGCCTGGTGTAGGACCCACACAGGGACCACAGCCTGGAGGTCTAGGTTTGATTATTTGTTCCTATTAGCAGAGTATTTGTCTTTACCTTCAAGAAATGAACATCCTGTACCCAGCCTAAGAACATGGCTTGGAGGAGCTTTTAATATGCAGCCAGCAATCAAAGACAAGATTATAAAAGACTAGATGTGGCCTGAGGGTTTAATTTTGGAGAGTACTATTAACAATGATTTAGGGAGAATAACACAGGAACCCTCGTGGGGTTTGCAGTTTCAAAGCCTTGCTGTTAGTGGTGTCCAGCAGTTCAGGGCACAGGCTGCCCAGAGCTAAGCTGTGCTGTCTCAGCATGGCTGCAGAGGAAGAAAAGGCAAAGACAGACCTTTGTTGGCTCCAGGACACCAACACAGGGAGAAGATGTCTCTGAGCCATAGGTTAGATGTTCTCCTGGTGAGAAGAAGAGAAGAGGAGGTTGCTAGCATCCACAGCACACACGTGTCCAGAAGGTACCAGCACTTACCCTGCAGAGGAACACTGACTCCAAGGGATGGTGCTGAACCCAAGTGCCATCCTCTGTAACTGCAAGCACAGCTCAGCTTCCTAAACCCACACCAACAAGGGAAGTGACCTTGTGCAGCTCTCTGTCCATTCTGCACCATCATTGCCATGAACCATCTTCTCTGCTTCCAGTTTTCTGGCTGTGCATTTGACATGACTCAAGCAGCTTCCCTGAGTCTTTGTAACCAAATATCTTCTTCCTTTGTGACAAGACTAAGAGGATGGTTGGATTGTCAGCTCTTTGTTGTGACATGAAATAGTCTTTGTTCACTCAGTGGTCAGTGAATGAAGGAAGAGAACCAGTAAACAGTCCTTGAACCCAATTCAACTTGCATTTTTACAGGGACAGGATTTCATTATTTGGTCTCAACATTTAGGCCATTTATGATAATTACCTGAAATGGCACCTATGAAGAAAAGAGCTTGTGTCATGATTGTTAAACTGCAACTTTCTGTCTTTGTTCAAATTATAACATTTGCAATTTTCTTTCGAAAGGAAAAGCCCACCTCTTTGAAGTCCTAGACACTCTCCACCACGAGCTGACAGCCTGCGAACTCTTAAAAAGCCAGCCTCTGGAGAAGGCACAGAGCCACCAGTGCTTGTCTAACCCACTGGTGATCTCGTGCTGAGCAGCAGTGCCCACCACAACCCAGACCCCCAGCCCAGCAACGCTCCCCGCTCATTCCAGTGAAAACAACGGGTCCAAGCCAACGGAGCCCAGTGAAGGACCAGAGCCAGCGAAGGTTTGCTGCCTCTGGAGGAGCAGCGGCTCCACAGCTAACATCAGAACCCTCCCTGTCATGACCCACCGTCCCCCCAGCGTGAGGATTACGTAGTGATGTCTGTCTCTGGTGGAAGCATGACCGTCCTTATATGATGGCCCTGTAACTGTACCAGTTAACCCAATAAAACCCATTCCAAATACACCGACCTGACCTGTTTAGATTCCCAGCCTGGTCGCCGTGCTCTGGCTGGGCAGAGTTTCTAGCTTTTGTGACAGCTCTGTTCAAAAGCAAAATGCAGCCTGTGTTGTCACCAGCAAAGAAACCATGTCCTGAACACAGAAGGGACAAACCGACCGCACTATGAACATACACCAGGGAGGGTGCCAGCAGAGCAGGTTGTAAGGGCTCGTGTATGAAACGTGTTGGTGTGTGTCTGTATTTGTGATTCGATTATTCACTTTAACTCTGAAGTCAGATTTGTTATTGCTCTGCTGAATTTTCTATTTGCAATTATAGAGGTGCCTTAGAAATCTGGAATTCTTGTCTGACAATTTTACATAAAAAGTTAAAATTAACTGCTTGAAGAAGTTATGAAGCCATCCTGCGCCCAGGCTCTCAGGGAAAGGAAGGGCTGGAAAATCCACTTTGCAACAGGCGCCGTTGTCACGTCAGCAAAGCCCATGTGCAGGACACAGCTCTGGTCTCTCCTTTACTTGTCCCCAGTGCAACTGCAGAGACACAAAGCTGGGCCCCACCTGCAGCCAAATTCATGTCAAATACTGAGCCTAATCATCACCTAACATTTAATCGGCAATAAAAGAATTCCTGGGGGCGAAAGTAAATAAAATGGGCTGCTTCAAGATATTTTTGCTGTTTCATTCAGCTTTCAAAAGCAGGAACTAAAGTTCTTAAATGATCCAACAGAATTTCTGCTATTAAAAAGATGCACTGTAGATCTTTGAAGAATGTGAAATGATTTGCCTGAGATAATGCCAGCAATGAAATAAGAGCATTCAATGCAGAGCTGTGCATATCTGAATTTTTTCCCATGAAAATGATTTTCATACAACGCAATAAGGGGATTAAGATTTCTATTCCTTTCTGTTCATAATGCACCATACAGGTTACACACACCTCCAGCCAAGGCTGTGACACATTACTTAGCATTTTGAAGCATGTTGGTTAACAAGGATTTGCAATATATGTTTTCATTTCATTTGAGAGGGGAAAAAAAAAAGGCATTTTGCAAACAATGGAACAAACTCTGTTCAATGGTGGTTCACCTGCTAGTTTTTTCTAGTTCAACAGAGGAAGATTTTAAGAAGAGAGAGATTTATTTTTTAATAGAGATTTTTCCTAAAAATAAATGAGAGAGGACATATTTATATAGTGCAATATTCACCTTGTAGGAAGGAAAACTGTATACTAATACTAAATACATTACTAACTTAATACTAACCATATATACTATTACTTAGTATATACTAAACTATGTGCTAATATTGTATACTACAAAAACTAAATGTGCAACATAATCATTAAAATGAGCAGGAGTTAGTTCCCTGCTTGGGTCCATTTTCTAAACAAAAAACAAGAACAAATATCATCTTATATTTTGTGCAGGTCTCTTAGACTTTCCCAGGAAGACTGTATATGTATAAAGAGGGAAAATGCCAGAAGATCATTGAATAATCAATTAAATAATGATAAATGTCCATGTGTATAGTTAGCAGAAGAGACATTTCAGGAAGAGAATCATAAAGTAAATACATGTCTGATTATCTTGTGGATGCTCCATCACTGGAGGTGTCGAAGACCAGGATGGCACTGGAACCCTGAAGTGGTGTTGAGGAGGATGCAAACAGTTGAGACAAGGGTAAGTTTTTGTGAATAAACAGCATTTAATGGATAGTTAGCTTCAAATATTGTAGGATTTTTATTTCTTATAATGCCTATATCATAATCATTTCTGATACATGAGTATATGCTGATTAACCCTTTAATAATAAAATCTGATTATTTTAACTCCAAAAAGTAATTAATATGGAGCAAGGCAGACTTGCAGTATTTCCATAAGAAGAATCTGTTCTTCAGGATGGCTCAAGAAACAGCCCTCAGTAAAATTCTTGCTGGAAATCAGACGCAAAACAAAGCACTGTGATTTGAAATACTTTCTTTGGTGACATTAGCATTGATTTTTTTTCTTAAATACTTCCACCCCAGTGTTTTATATGGAGCCTGTCAGCAGTGCTGCTGAGGCTGCTCAATATTTCATATGAAGGTGTATAAATATGTGATTTAAATCTATGTAATTGAGAAATTTCTACCTCTGCCTCAAAAGCAGGTAGGCTTCCACAGTTTGATTTCCTGTGTGGAACATGGTCAAAAGAGTCTGCTTAATAACCCTGGGAAGCAACCCCAAATCTCTAGGTTTTCTTAAAGACCTAGCTCCTTAATTCATGTGAGTACTGCACATTTCAGCTACTTTTTTTCTTTTTTTTTTTAAATTTCTTGCTATTTTGAGTACTGGATTTTCTCCCAGATAAACAGCAAGTTGAAATTGGGGGTGTCCCTGTGTACTGCAGGGGGGTTGGACTAGATGACTTTTTGAGATCACTTTCAACTCAAAGCATTCTATGATTCTATGAAATATCTAATCACGTCTCATTAATATCTTCACCATATTTCAAACCATAATGTAGGAACAGTTATTCCCCACACTGCTGACTGCATAATAAACTCCTCCTTTGAACCACTGGAGCAGTCCTCACAGTAACACTTGCTCCTCTAGCACATACGAGACTGTAGGAGTGCACAAAGCAGTACTTCATGTTAGAGGGAACACACCAAGCTTAAACTGGCTGCAAAAAAAACCCCAACAAACCAATATTCCCTAGATAACAAAGCACACTCCAAAGTTTTCCATTTACAAAGTAGAACCATGAATGCAGTATCACAAATCTCTGCAGACGTTCTGGTTTGTTGTACATTTACCAAATGGTAATAAATGGCTATTTGCTTCCAGCTTGACTTCTCAGTAAAGGAAAAAAGAAACATCACAGAGCGAGTGCATGTGCTATAAACAGAACATGTGCAATTGTCCATCTAAAATTTTGCTCAAGTAGCCAGAGGCCATCAGAGCATGCCTACCCAACATTTGTTTGTTCCGTGAGAAACCAGATTGGAGGAGTCCACGCAACGTGTTACCAGGTGAGACCAGAGCCCTGCTGTACAGCTTCAGCTGGCAAGGGTTAATCAGGTCCTGTCTGCAGACAAGACCTGCACTACTTTGATTTTCAGTTAGAAAGTCAATGGGCATCTATAAAGGGGCTAAAGCAACCTCATTATGATGGCTTTGAGGCACCCTGGTTGAACTCTGGCCTCACACCATGCTTTAGATTTTATCCCCTCCTCAGTGTGCTCATGCCTCATTCTAGGAAATTTTTTTTCCTGAAGAATAATTCCACTGTTAGAGAAAGGACAGTTTGTTTCATCCCAGTTGTACCTGTTGGAATTCACCCCAGCACAAAAGTCATTCTTCATCATCTCTTCTCCACATCCTTTCCTCCTTACTGCTAGTGGCAGAGCAATAAAGACCTCAGATCCCTACTGTAAGACTGGTGCCCAGCCTGGCCCCAAAGAAGCTGCCTGGAGGGTTCTCAGCACTCCTAACCCTCACTCCTGCAAGTCACAAGGAATGTGCCCTTTCTCCTGCTGGTCTAGCTCCCTCAGACTCTCCTAATGGGTTGGCATTGCCTTAGCCTTTGCTGTTCAACGTTGGATCTCCACAAACTGTCATCAAGCTCATTTTCTTAGCACTCATCATCTTAATTTATTAATTTTCATTAAAACTGCAGATTGGCCCTAACAAGGAAGCTGGGACATTTCCTTCATGGTTTCCACAAAACAGGTTATCCCATTTGACTCCATTCTCAACCTCCTTTCTCCTCCCAATGCCCTCCTCGCTGTTCGCCTTGATTCTCACTGAGATACCTGCACACTTCTAGCAGAAGTGAGATTTTTCAAGAAAAGTTTCCTCCTCCCATTATTTTTTACTTTATGAGGTGTTAACTATTAGTGACTTCAAGTCCACCTGATAAATATTCAATAATCGTCCAGTTTATTTCCATTGAAGCTCTCTCTGAAGTTCTCTATCTGGGACCACTCCTCACAGATGTTACACCGATTCAGAAAAGTTTTGCACCAAATCAGTGTGGTCATCTCCAGCCAGAGCTACTCCAAGAGGCTGATGGCATTTGTGCACACAAGAAGAAAAAAAGCCTTGGCACCAATACATTTAGATTTGCTGAATTTGTTGGAATTAAATCTCTTCCCTTTCATGATTCTGTCCTTTGGTTTATGACAGGATGCACTGCGGTGCTGAAAGGCTGTTTAGATTTCATTCTGTTTCCATCTCACTTCTAAGAAGAAGGGAACTCTGTCAGACAGCGCGGCGAGAAACAGTTGTGTGGCCAGGGAGAATGACAATAAACTTTCACAGCATGTGTGTTACCCACCAAAGGGTTTCTCTCAGACTTATCATTTCATGGAGTTTAAGACACTGAATCCTTTAATATTTACATTCTCTTACTTGCTTAGTAATTTTATGTATCATTCGGCAAAATAAAAAAGCTCTAGAGTGTTTCTTAGTGTGACATACAATTGAAAACCATCCCTATTTCCTGAATTACCTTTTGCTTACATGAGGCCAGGATTTTCAGAGTTCCTGTTGGGTTTCTATTCTACTTTTCTGGCTCTTCTGTAATATCCCATCAGAAACCTCAACATGAGGAAGAACTTCTTTACTGTAAGGGTTCCAGAGCACTGGAACAGGCTCCCCTGGGAGGTTGTGGAGTCTCCTTCCCCGGAGACTTTTAAGACCCGTCTGGATGCGTTCCTGTGTG